ACAAGTATTTCAGCAGTAGCACCCCAAGGTACCTGCTTTCAATTCCAGCAGGTTTCCAGAGTTATGAAATGCACAACTGCTAGAGTGAGACAGAGAATTGATTGCATTAAGAAGTTTCTGACAAGAAAAAACTGAAACACACAGAAGCTAATTTCTCTTCCAGAAGAAATACCATTTGCTTGGAGGCCACCACCACTACAGATCTTGCTGCCCTAGTATACCTTTTAAGCCACAACAATTATTCAGCTGTTCATCTTCAACATGGTACCCTGCACTTCAGGTTTAAACCAGCCTTCTTGATATTTACATATCCTTCCAACTTGGTCCACTCTGCTGCCCTATTACTACTGGCACTCTAAGAAAGAGAGCCAATAATCACAGTAATTTCCATTGTGGCTAAGCTGGCACTTGGCAAAGGTGAGGTGCCTAGCCAGAGTAGCAACATCTGCATAGTACTTGTCCAAAGGGCAGCACATCATGCTCTTTCCATGTGATTCCAACCTCTTTTGTCCCCCAAAGAAATGAACTCATTCAAGAACAGGAAAGGCAAGCAAATGAGGCTACAGCCATTGCAGGTGTCAGCCACCCTTTTCCTCCTTTTCATACCACAACCACAGCACCTCCATGGATGACATGGCAGTAGCAGCTTCCTAGAGGGAAGCTAAGAGCCTACTGAATTCATAACTGAAGTATTCTCCTCCTGAGACAAGCAGCTGCTCTTTATGCTACGTCAAGAAAATGATAGTATGTGACAACCATCTCCACGAAACCATTCTATCAGCTTCAAACAGTGCAGGCACAAGCCTCAAAAGCCTCAGCTGTTAGCAAGAAAGCTATTTCAATTTGAACAATCATTGCTCTCTCTGGATACTCCTGCTGTTCATGTTCAGGTTCTCTCTAAAGAGATAGTTAAAGGAAAGATAAACCCAAAAGCTTCATGTTAATTCTGTGTCTACTATCATGGTCTCTGTAGGTAGGAAACCTCAAAAACAGGAACAAGACAAGTAAACATTGTGGTCCTAAAGAAGAAGAAACGAATAAACTGATTTTTTTAGGTTAGTATCTATGGAAGGAGCCACACAGGATTTAACCAAAATCAATTCCTTCGTAAATCAACTACTTCTTTCAATGAAATTATAACCCTGTCACACTTGTCAGTCAATAGCATACTTTGAACAGTCTCCTTCTGCTCTAGGAAAGTGTGCAGAGTAGGGTGAGGAGTTTTCTGGTTTGTTTTTCAGTTTGTTTCAGGAGCAAGAAGGGGTGCTGATGTTTGTACTGCACCCAAATAGCTAGGCAAGCACCTGAAGGTCTCAGGTGCTGCACTATAAATCCCTGCCCCCCTAGATGCTATGTTGCTGGGAATACGACTCATAATGCACCTCCATCCCTAAACTTCTTAAGGCTGCAGTGAAATGAGACATCAATGACTCAAGACTGTACCCAAATATTGAAGTCCTTTAAGTGCTGTGTTCCTCTGCTCAGTTTCACAACATTCCAGAGAATGCTAGATGCTGAAGTCTGACTAAGCTGAATAGACTCCACACAGTTGAAAAGAGTCTGAATAGAGTCCACTTCTGTTATTACGTTATCCCCTGTCTGCCATTTACCCACTCACAGATCTGCAGTAAAATAACAACTGACTGTATCCTGGGGACAGCCAGCACAGAGGCCAAAGATTTTGGTGCCCAAGAACATAAATTCCTGTTGGCAGGACAAGTATACTGCCCGGATACTAAACAGCCTCCCAGAGATTATAATTATATTCATGTCACCTTCAGATTTACCAGACAGTGGGAAGCCTGCATTTTCAAGGCTGAATCAGGTCCTGAAAGTCAAGCACAGTCTTTCAGTTTTGCATATCTGAAACAAAGCTGTCTAAAACTATGCAAACCAGTTTGGGCATTTTTGTCTTTGTTCAGTTGGTTTTTTGTTTGGAGATTTGTTTTTCCCCCCCCAAATCTCTCTCCCTCTCCGCTCCCCCCCC